AGAATTGTGACACTATAACCGCAGCCTAGGCCAGTGATGGTGAACCTATGACACGCGTGTCAGAGGTGATACGCGAACTCATTTATTTGGTTGATTTTTCTTTGTTAAATGGCATTTAAATATATAAAATAAATATCAAAAATATAAATCTTTGTTTTACATTTGTGTGCAGCCTGGGGCGGTGGGGCAGGGCAGTGCACTCCGCCGCCCGCCCCAGTGAGGGATCTGGGCCTGCCATCTGCCACCCGGGAAGCGGGCCTAAGCCAGGAGGTGGTTATCTCCCAAGGGGTCCCAGACTGTGAGAGGCACAGGTCGGGCTGAGGGACTCCCCGCAGTGCACAAATTTTTGTGCTCGGGGCCTCTAGTATATATACACACATACACACATACACACACACACACATACACACACACACACACACACACACACACACACACACATATTTGAGAGAGGAAAGGAGAGGGAGACAGAAACATCCGTGATGAGGGAATCATTGATCGGCTGCCTCCTGCATGCCTCCTACTGGGGATCAAGCCTGCAACTCTGGCATGTGCCCTGACCTAAATGGAACAGTGACTTCCTGCTTCGTAGGTTGACACCCACTGAACAACTCTGCCGGGAAGTATCAATATTTCTCTCTCTTTTTTTCTACCTGGTACATTCAATCAATGGACATTTTCATTCTCAGGGAAACAAGAGTGAAAGGGCTTCCCTAGGTGATGCATAAAGGCTCTGAAGGAAAGAAATACATCCACTGGAGTCAGCTCAGATGAGCAACCTGCTTCCCACAGGACAGAAGGAAATCCACTTTCAAAAGGTTCCACATCCGAGATAGAACCCATGGAGTGTTACAGTCCCTGGGGAAGCAGAGGAGGGACACCTGAGCAGCCACCCCAGGAATGAAGTCTGGGAACTCCAATACCTACTCTCCCTGGGGAATAATGGAAATGTGCTGGGCAGTTAGACAGACATGAGCAGAGCAAGGAGAATGGGCCAGAGGCAGAAGGTCATGCCTAGCAACAGACAACTGTAGGCTGGGACCTCATCCCCAGGTTAACCTTTCATCCCGTAACATATTGCTGGTCATGCAGTTTGGATCCCCGGACCTTTTCCCCCTAGAAATAACCTCTAGGCCACACTTCTATTTTAGCTGCAGGCCCAGAAAAGCAGCAAAACCAGGAAAGTGATGCCAGGGCTGACCTCAGGACCAGTTGCATTGAATGATGACCTGGGCCTTGGCCATAACCAATCGATCAGTGGAGACCCAAACCATGAAAGGACACACCTGGAAAGCTGCTGAATATTCTGAGATTTTCCCTGGGACCTCCCTTAAAATCTCCACCGTAAAGCCTTAGGACAGAGAACCCAGCTGGCTCTCCTTCCTGGGAGCATGTCCCAACCTCTCTTCACCCTCCCCTTCCTCCAGGCATGTAACAGCTACCTTTCTCACTTCTAAGAGCCAAGGGCCCTTCCATCACCTCTATAACTTGTTCCTTCTATGAATTTCCATTCCTTGAAGAATTTCTTCTTCTATCTCTGTTATATTCCAAATAAATGTTCTCTTATAGTTTGAGTCTTGGCTCTGAATTCATTCCCAGCCAGAATTCAAGCACCTATGTTGCTGAACCCAGATCCAGTCTACCCCACGGGTCTAACATGAGGTCTGCTCCCACCATGCCTCCGCCAACAGACATGCTCCCTCTCTCAGGCTTCATCTCAGTGACGGGGTGCTCACCTGGATTCAGTGCAAGGTTCTGACCTAAATGAACTCCCAATTTCACAGTCCCTAACCCAGGACACACACACCTGACTTTCCCTGATTTTCTCAATGTGCAACTACACCCTGGATGCAAAACTTCAACTGATGCCTAGAATCAGGCCCAGGGGGACCACAACTAAAACCTCAGAAGGGTCATCACCCTCTCCCACAGGTGCACTTGCTTCCCCAGCTTTCCAGGGCTGTAGCTTCTCTCACTGTATAGGCTCCCTACATATCAGGTGTGAGCAGGTAGGAAACCTGCAGGGGGAGGCTCCCCAGGATGATCAGTGGGCCTTCAAGTACTTCCGTTGGCAGGCTCAAGGGCATGGGGGGCTTCTTTAGCTTAAAGCACCTGGCCTCAGACCTCTGATCCCCCCTGACGTTTCTCTTGGCCACCATTGATGTTTCAAGCGACACAAAGCCAGTATTGGAATAATTAGTAAACTTGCTTAAACTCAGTGTTCATGTGTAAAGAAGGTATTAAAATGGTAAGGCACTTTGCTACCTCAATAAGAAATTCCACAAGTATCTATTATTGCATTTAAAAAGATGCTTATTAATTACTGTTCCCATGGAAAGAATTTCTTTTATAAACTATTAATCATACTTCAACACCTCCAGTCTAAGCTCTAAAAATCCATTTGACTCACTCAAAATAATAGACCTTAAAATATTTCTACCCACACTGGGAGAAAACAGGCCAAACAATAATTTAATACATGCAATCTATATATATATAAAACCCTAATATGCAAATAGACCAAACGGCAGAACAACCATACAACTGAAAAACCAGTAGCTATGATGAGCCGCTGACCACCAAGGGTCGGGTGCGAACGGGACCGGCACCATCAGCCCATGGGAGTGGTGGCGGCAGGAGCAGAGCTGCTGGCAGACAGGGGACGGGGGGCTGTGGAGGGAGAGGCTGGGTGGGGGTGCAGAGTATAGGCCGAGACCCACCCCTGTGCCCACAGAAGCCTCGTGGCCCACAGTTCCTGTCCAGGTGCACAAATTCGTTCACTGGGCCCCTAGTGTAACAATAAAGTATTTTATTTCTCTGAGAAGCACTTGTGTCAGGAATACTTGCTTTGATGCAAATTAAGTGGTTATTATTTACCTGGAAATACACACATACAAAATACACTTTTTAAAGACAGCAATTCATTGACTATGGGAAAATAATAAACAATTCAAATTTTGAGTCTGTTCTATTAAAAAAGGGGACGACAGGTGCACAATGAATCACTTGTGTAAAGTCACATTACCAAAAGCAAAACTTAACACATTGCAGGCAGATCATGAGCATTCTGGTGTTTTCTTATGACACAATACTAGTAAATGTTAAAGGCATGCCTTAAAATTAAAAGCCCATTGCATTTTGAAGTTATTTATTACATGTTCTTACAAGCTAATATCTTTTGAATATATGATACTTTGTAAAACATTTTTTGTACTCATTCAATAGAAACTTACCTGGCCACTGGGTAAAGCTAGCAATAAAACTACGGGTCTGCAATGTGTTAATACAGTCATGAGCCACATAAACTATGGTCAACAACGGACCTCATATAGGATGGTAGTCCCATAAGAGTATAATGGATTTGGCTTAAAAAGCAAATTACCTAAGAATATATTTAACCAAGGAGATAAAAGACCTGTATTTAGAAAATTAGAAGACAGTGAAGAAAGAAATTGAAGAAGATACAAATAAATGGAAGCAAATACCATACTCCTAAATAAGAAGAATTAACATCATTAAAACGTCCATACAACCCAAGGTGATCTATACATCCAGTGCAGTTCCTATCAAAATACCAATGACGTTTTTCCCCGGACTAGAACAAGTAATCCAACATTTCGTATGAATCCACAAAAGACACCAAATAGCCACAGCTATCCTGACGAAGAAGAAAAAAGTCAGAGATACCATATTACCTGATATCAATCTATACTAAAAACTATAGTAATCAACCCAGCATGGTCCCAACATCAAAACAGACATATAGACCAAGGGAAGAGAACAGAGAGCCCACAAATAAATCCAAACTTATATGTTAATATATGACAAAGGAGATAAGTGCATACAATAAAATAAAGACAGCCTCTTTAATAAAGGTGTTAGGAAAATGTATGGGAAAAAAATGAAACCTAGACCTCGTTCTTACAAGAATTAACTCAAGTGCATTAAAGACTTAAATGTAAAACTACTACAGTAAAATCTCTTAATATTCCTCTTAATATTTTTATGACATGTCCCCTTGAGCAAGGCAAACAAAAGAAAAAATAAACCAATAAAACCACCTCAAACTAAAAAGATTTTGCTGGGCAAAGGAAACTGTCCACAAAATGAAAAGACATCCTACAGAATGGGAAAACATATTCAGCAATGATACACTTGATAAGGGGTTAATATCCAAAACTTATAAAGAATTCACACAAGTCAACACCAACAAAACAAACAATCCAATTAAAAAAGACCTGAACAGTTACATCTCAAAAAAGGGCGTACATTACAGATGGCCAACAGACATATGAAAAGATATTCAGTGTCACTATTAATCAGAGAAATACAAATTAAAACTACAATTGTTTCCATTGGTTGGAGCATCATTACCAAAAGGGTGCAGTTTCAATTATGGTCTGGGCACATACCTTGATTGTGGGTTCAATCCCCAGTTGATGGTCCGGGCGGCACCTGATAAGTTTCTTTCTCTCTTTCTTTCAAATCAATAAACAAATCCTTGGTTGAAGATTACAAGGAAAAAGCAAAATGAGCTATCACCTCATACCTGTCAGAATGGCTATCATCAATAAATCAACAAACAAACAAGTGCTGCTGACGACGTGGAGAAAAGGGAACCTTCATGCACTATAGGTGAGAATGAAGATTGGTGAAGCTACTATGGAAAAACAGTATGGAGGTTCCTCAAAAAATTAAAAATGGAGCTGCCTTATGACTCAGCAATTCCACTTCTGGGTAAATACCCCCCAAAAAACCAAAAAACTAATTCAAAAGAGTATATGTTCATTGCAGCATTATTTACATAGCCAATATATGGAAGCAACCCAAGTGCCTATCAATAGACAAGTGGATAAAGAAGAATATTACTTGGCTGCAATAAATAATGAAACCTTACCTTTTGCAACAGCATGGATGGACTTAGAAGTTTAACACAGTGAAATAAGTCAGAGAGAAAGACAATTACCATATGATTCCACTTACATGTGAAATCTAAAGAAATAAATCAATGAATAAACAAAATAGGAATACTCTAGAGATCAGACTGGTGGTTGGTTGCCAAAGGGAAAAGGTTTGGTGGATGGGTGAAATGGTTAAGAAGTACAAATTGGGGTGATTAAAAATGGCAGCAGAGTAAGATGATATTGCACGGACATGCTCCCGGAAACAAACTGCAAGTACAACTAATATATAGAAAAACTTCCTGAATAATCAACGGAAGATTTGCTGCAGAGAACCCTGATACCCAAGGACTGAAAGTGGAGACCCCATAGAGACTGGTAGGCGGAGCAGAGGCGGGAAGGGCTGGCACTGCATCCAAAGACAGCAATTGAAGCTCCAGAGAGATATCTCAGCTGTGGGGGGTTGCCATAGAGGGATCTAATTCCCCAAGCGGGCACCCCAGCAGAGAGCACAACTGAGAAGGGTACCCACGTAACATCTGGATGTGAAAAGCAATGTAGTTGCTGTTTCTCAAGGAGTGATAGCTGCAAATTAAGCCACCATCTAAACGGCCAATGCACAAAATTCCCTTCCAACCAACCACCTTGTGCTCCAGCAGAGGGAGGGCAGAGCAGACAGGAGCTGTGTAAGCAGAAGCCAGGATTGGGAACTCGGAGGGTAGAGATCAGAAAAGACAACCCAGATTCCTGGGCAGACATCCCCAGTTTCATTCCCTCACACAGCAGAGGGCATCTTTCCCACATAGACATTTGCCTTGTCTGGAGGGAAGGCAGTTGACACACACTATTGGAAATCACCTTGCCCTGAGGCCACATAGGAGACTAAAAATTACAATTAGCCTCCAGGCAGAAGCAACTGCCCTACCCTGTTGAGAAAAACTTGCCATAACTCAGGACCATTCCCTGGGGGGACAATTGAAGCCTGAAACCTATCAGTGTGTAGGTAGAGGCGGTCTCTGGAGACTGAGTCTTTGCCTGATCTAACTAGTCAGAAACAGCATTTGACACTATCCTGCACTGAAGTTTGAGAAGCGTAGAGGATCCACCTAGCATACAGTCCCAAACCCAAACAGATAGCCAAAATCAGGAGACAACAAAACAACCCCCTAATGAAACAACAAGAGAACTCTCCAGAAAAATAAATAAATAAATGAAGCAGAGATAAGAAATTTATCTATAACGGAGTTCAGAGTATGATGTTAAGGATGCTCAACAGTATGAAAAATGATATAGTAACTATGAAAAAAAGAAGAGTTGGCCAAAACCGGTTTGGCTCAGTGGATAGAGCCTCGGCCTGCGGATTGAAAGGTCCCAGGTTCGATTCCGGTCAAGGGCATGTACCTGGGTTGCGGGCACATCCCCAGTGGGAGATGTGCAGGAGGCAGCTGATCGATGTTTCTCTCTCATCGATGTTTCTAACTCTCTATCTCTCTCCCTTCCTCTCTGTAAAAAAATCAATAAAATATATTATATTAAAAAAAAAAGAAGAGTTGGAAATAAAGAACGATATAACACTAATAACAACAGGAAGAAATACACTGCAGATTAGGGGAAACTGAGGATCAAATCAGTGAATTACAAGACAGAATTGAAAATATCACTCAATCAGAGAACCAAGAAGAAAAGTCAATTAAAAAACATAAGAATAGCTTAACAGAGCTGTGAAACAACGTGAAATGTAACAATATTAGAATAGCAGGTGGGCCAGGAGACCCAGAAAGGGAGAAGTGAACTTGTTTGAAGAACTAATGGAAGAAAACTTCCATAATCTGGTAAAGGAAAAAGTCACACAAGTTCAGGAGGCACAGAGAACCCCAAGCAAGAAGAACCCAAACAGACCCAGACACAGACATATCATAATTAAAATGCCAAAAACTAAAGACAATGAGAGAATCTTAAAGGCAGCAAGAGAAAAGCAAACTTTTATCTATAAAGGAGTTCCCATAAGGCTGACACCTGATTTCTCATCAGAAACTTACAGGACCAGAAGGGAATGGCATGAAGTACTCAAGGTAATGGGAAGCAAGGATCTGAAACCAAGATTACTATATGCAGCAAAGCTATCATTCAAAATCAACGATCAAATAAATAGCTTTCTAGACAAAAAAAAAATGCATTACCACCAAGCCAGCATTACAACAAATGCTAAAGAGAGCGAAGGACCTAAATAGACACTTTTCCAGAGTGGACAAACAGAAGGCCAAGAGACATATGAAAACATGCTCAAAGTCACTAATCATCTGAGAGATGCAAATCAAAATGACAATGAGGTGCCATCTCACACCTGTCAGAATGGCTACCATCAACAAATCAACAAATGACAAGTGCTGGTGAGGATGTGGAGAAAAAGGTACCCTCGTGCACTGCTGCTGGGAATGTAGACTGATGTAGCCACTGTTGAAAACAGTATGGAGTTTCCTCAAAAATTAAAAATGGGACTCCCATTTGACCTAGTAATCCCACTTCTAGGAATATATCCCAAGAAATCAGAAACACCAATCAAAAAGGATATATGCACCCCTATGTTCATAGCAGCACAATTTGCAATAGCTAAGAGTTGGAAACAGCCTAAGTGTCCATCAGCAGATGAGTGGATTAAAACAAACCAATCTGTGGTACATCTATACAATGGAATACTATGCTGCTGTAAAAAAAGAAAGAATTCTTACCATTTGCATCAGTATGGATGGACCTGGAGAGCATGATACTGAGCGAAATAAGCCAGTTGGAGAAAGATAAATATCACATGATCTCACTCATTTGTGGAATATAATGAACAACATGAACTGATCAATAAAAATAGACCCATTGACACAGAAGCATCAAACAGACCGTGAAATCTCAGAGGGAAGGCAGGGGAGGGGTGCCAGATAAAAGATTAACCAAAGGGAGAGAGACCAAGATGGCGGCATAGGTAAACACCGGAGACTGCTGCCGCAAACAACCACTTCAAAAATACAACTAAAAGACGGAACGGACATCACCCAGAACCACAGGAAGGCTGGCTGAGGAGAGACTCTTCAACTAGAAGGAAAAATAACAGCACACCGAGGCTCAGAGGAGGCGCAGTGTGGAAAATACTCAGGTGCGGAGGTGCGCGCGCAAAGCGGGCTGGTGGCTGAGAGCGCGGTTGTCGTTTTCGGTCAGGGGGGAGTCTCAGACTCTGAGCTCCAGATACGGGCGAATCGCTGGGGACTCGGACCCAAACGGGAGAAGCGGGAGTGTCTGGCATCAGTTGGAAGGCAGCTTTCCCTCCGAGGTTTGCAGCGGTTCCGGGGGTTCTGAGAAGCAGAGCCTCTGGGAGTTATGGGGGGGGAAAAAAGAGGAACAAATGTAACCTGAACAATAAAGATTTAATTTAAAAAAAAAAAAAAAAAAGATTAACCAAAGGACTTGTATGCATGCATGGAGGCATAACCAATGGACACAGACAGAGCAGGGTGAGGGCATGTCCTGGGGGTGGGAGTAGCTGGGGAGAGGTCAATGGGGGAAAAGGAGATATATATAATACCTTAAACAATAAAGAATTTAAATTAAAAAAACAAACAAACAAAGAAATGCAAAAGGGACTGCTGTAATGAGAACAAGAACCAGAGAGAAACCTAGGCATACAGAATTAAAATGGCAATAAATAAGTACCTATCAATAATAATCCTAATATAAATTGATTAAGTGCTCCAATCAAAAGGCATAGGGTAGCTGAATGGATACAAAACATGACCCACTGACTTCACTGGATAAATCTTCCAGACAAAACCTAATAAGGAGAAAGTGACTCTAAAGGACACACTGGATCAGATAGATTTAATTGACAATTATAGAACATTTCACTCCAAAGAGCAAAACATACATTCTTCTCAAGTGCACATGGGTCATTCACAAAGAAAGACCACATTAGGACACAAAACATGTCTCTAGAACGTCAAGAAGATTGAAATCATATCAAGCATCTTCCTGATCACAGCGGAATGAAATTAGTCAGAAACAGCATTTGACACTGTCCTGCACTGAAGTTTGCGAAGCGTAGAGGATCTACCTAGCATATAGTCTCAAACCCAAACAGATAGCCAAAATGAGGAGACAACGAAACAACCCCCAAATGAAACAACAAGAGAATTCTCCAGAGCTACAGTAAAAACACCCAAAAGCATTCAAACACATGGATGCTAAACAGCATAATATTAAACAAGGAATGGGTTACCAATGAGATAAAGAAAGAAAGAAATCAAAAACTTCCTGGAAACAAATGAAAATGAACACACAACAACCCCAAATCTATGGAACACAGCAAAGTAGTCCTGAGAGGGAAGTTCATAGCACTACAGGCATACCTCAGAAAAAAACAAGAAAAATCAACAATAAATTATTTAACCCTACAAGTCAAAAAACTAGAAAGAGTATAATAAGAAAAGTCCAGAGTAAGTAGAAGGAAGGAAATAATAGCGGCATAGGTAAACACCTATACTTGCTGCCCCTCACAACCACATCAAAATTACAACTAAAAGGCAGAACTACTACCCAGAACCACGGGAAAGCTGGCTGAGTGGAAGTTCCACAACTAGAGAGGTGAAGAAAGCGCATTGAGACTGGTAAGAGGTGCGGAGGCGCAGAAAGCGCTGGCACGTGGATGTGCTGCTCTTTTAATCAGGAGGGAGACACAAGCTCCTGCTTGCTCTGATCTCCAGTTCTGGGTGAGACTCTAGGGGACCCAGACACATATGGAGAGAAACTGGACTGTCTGTCATTGGAACAGGAACGTGAGGGCAGCATTCTCTCAGAGGTACTCACAGTAATCATTGTTAAAAAGGGGGCCGTGCAGGACACGGAGGCCCGGGACTTCTCTGGTGCAGGGCTGACTGGCAGCCATTGCTGTTACCTCTGCCCTGGTGATTCCCATAAACACCGCCCCACCCAATTTACAACCCCACCCAAGCTGTGAGCATCAGCTTTTGCATATGAATGACCTGTCCTTTCTCCTCCTAAAACCTATCAAACTGCAGCTGGGTCAGAGAGCCCCAGAGTTTCCAAAAGAAGGCCCAAGGCCCGGCAGCAGCAGCAGACTGCCTTGCTTCACTGCTGGGCCTCATCTGGGCACTTCCAAACCCCATACAAAGAGGAGGAATCTGCAGATGTCTCTGTAGCTTATGGTGGGCGGCCCCAGACAGTGGCTGACCTTGCACCTCCTTGGAGATCCAAGAGCTAGTGTACCCAGTGGTCAGAGTGAGACCATAACGGATTACAACTCTTCACATCCATAAAAGACACACTCAAGGGGCAGACTCAGTGAGCACCAAAGCCCCACTGAAGCAAGTCCTGCCCCATAAGGGTGTCTCCTGCACAACAGATCTTCCAGTGTAGACACAGCTGGTCGTCCTCACAGATTGGCCTGGAGGTCAATTCATCCCAGTGATACCAACAGCAATCAAGGGTTAACTACAACAAGACTGTGCAAACAGCCTACAAAGGGGTGCACCAAGAGTGTCCACCTCAGGTGACTGGGGAGGTTGAGCCACTGGGCCCTATAGGACACTTACCATACAAGGCCACTCTATCAAATCCAGGGGACTTAGCAGCTACCCAGTACATAGAAACAAACACAGGGAAACAGCCAAAATGCATAGAAAAAGAAACAAGTCACAAATGAAAGAACTGGATGAAAGAAAAATTCTGGATATAGAGTTCAAAACCACAGTTATAAGGTTACTCAAGAATCTTCTAGAAACCTCTGAGAAATTTAGTGAGACCTTCAAGGATATGCAAAGGGACCAATCAGAAATTAAGCATACACTGACTGATAAAGAATAATATACAGAGATTCAACAGCAGACTAGAGGATCCCAAGAATCAAGTCAAAGATTTGAAATATGAAGAAGCAAAAAATGCCAAACAGGAAAAGCAAAAAGAAAAAGGAATCCAAAAATACGAAGATAGTGTAAGGAGCCTCTGGGACAGCTTCAAGTGTACCAACATCTGAATT